CCCCGCCCCGCCCCCGTCCGCTGCTCAGGGGCTGGGACCCAGAAACCCAAGGGGCCGGTAACCTCGCCAGTCCCATCATGCCCAGTTTCACCCCATCACACCCCAAAACCCCCCTGCGCGGCCCGGAGCTGGAGTCGCATTACCGGGGCAGGGGCGTCCTGGCCGCAGCAGCCCCAGCTGGCACTGCACCCGCCCCTCCCGCCCCCCCAGGAGGTGGGGACCCCATCGCCTTCATGGAGCTGCAGGTCAGGGGAGCCGAGGGCAGCTCCAAGCTCTGCAGAGTGCGTCCATGGGCTCAGACCAGGGCCCAGGCGGTGCCCGCTCAGGCCAGACCTGCAGGTGCCCGGAGCCTCTGACCCCGGCACTGACCGTGGGGGCCACCTGGCGTGGCCAGGGACACAGCGGGCAGGGCCCCCACACCGCTCAGGACCAGGAGGCTCGGGAGAGCCGAGGGGCCCGCACACCTGTGCTGGGCCCCGTCCTCTCGGGTGGCTTGAGAAACTGGCCCAGGGCTGCCATCACGGGGGCAGGACGCCGGCCCCTCCCGGCCGGGCCCCCGACAGGGGCACCCACGCTGGGCAGGGGTAGTGGCCCAGCCCGTGCCCGCCGCGTGCCACAACAGTGTGCACCTGCGCCAGGTGCCCCGAGAGGGCCCTTCAGTGTTGCGGGAGTGGGCCCTGCCCGCCGCCCAGCGGGCGCAGGGTGTAGCCCGGGCACACTGGTCTTTCCTACACGGGCCCAGCGCCCCAGAGGCCCAGCCCCGCGCCCGTGGCGCACCCAGCCCTGTCTTGGGGGTTCACCAGCGTCTCCAGCCCCCCGCCTTCCTCCAAATCCTCACGCTCACACTGCACACCGGTCACCTGCTCTGGTGTCCACTGCTGCCCGGAGCAAGCTGACCATACCAGGCCCGCCAGGCCTGGACGAGGGTGGGCATCACCCCCAGGGACACGCCACTGCCCCTGACCGACCTGCACGTGCTTCCCACAGCCTCCGAGAAGCCGTGTCCCGAGAGGAGGAACCCCGGGGGGCCCCCAACAGAGGCCTGGGGGCCCAGGAGCCCGAGGGAGCCTGTGGAGGGCAGCCACTCACTGGACACCAGCAGCTGCGAGGAGGCCTAGCGGGCAGCGGGACCCCACGCGCCAGCCAGCCCCACAGCGAGCTGCTGGGCAGGGCCGGAGGGGCAGGGGATGCCAAGGAGGCCTCCGATCACCTCTGAACCCTCCCCCACCCCCTCTGTGCATCTCTGCAGTGGCCACTGCCCAGCCGCCCCTCACCCCAGCATCCACGTCCGGTTGCGGACTGGGGACCTGGGAGGCGGGGTCCCGGCAGCGCCTCCAACTCTGGCGCCCCCACTCCGGCCGCGTCCTCCCTGACAGGTGCAGGCCCTGAGTGGCAGTCTCGGGCGCCCCCTCGTGGCCCCAGAAACACTCGCGGAGTCAGGATGTGAAGGGTGGTGGCCTGCCCGCGCCCGCCTGGACGCCTGCCTCAGGGCCCCTGCCTCAGGGCCCCTGAGTGCACCCAGAGACGGGGGCCCCTCCCTTGGGACGGAGGGTGGCACCCCGGGGGCAGGGAGCACACGGGACAGTGAGCACCAGAGCCCGGCTCCTGCCACCTGCGTCCCTGGTCCTGCTCCCCCCTGCTGGGGACAGCCGGGCCTCCAGCATGGGTCACTCTGCTTGCGGGGGCGCTGTCACGTTGGGGGGTCTCGGAGTGTCTCCCGGGAGGGTGTCCACAGACGCCTGGCCCACCCACAGCCTGCAGCAGGACCCGGGGCTGCTCCAAGACCAGGAGCCCCGAGGCGGGAAGCCGCTCCCAGGGCAAAGGCAGGCTGGGCGCGGAGAGGCCAGCGGGCCAGCCCGAGGGAAGTCCGGGGCGTGACGCGGGCGGCCGGTTCGTGTGCAAGCCAATAAAGCCTCAGCTCACGCACAGCTCACGCACATGCAGCCTGCGGCCAGGTCGGGCTTGGTCCGCGTGGCCTGGGGGGCCAGCTGGGAAGGGCAGCGGGAAGGCGGCCCTAGGGGAGGTGGCCACGGGGACCCGCAGGAGGGCTGCGTCTGCCCTGGTGGGGGCGAGGGCGCACTTCCCCCTCGCGGTTGCCCGGCTGGACTGGGGGCGAGGCCGGGGAGACCAGCGCAGAGTGGGGTGCTGTGCCCGGGCCAGGCAGCCTGCCAGCCCCATCCTGACGCCCGGGGCGGAAATCCTCGGTCGGACCCCAGAGAGCTGGGCAGAGCAGGTGCGTGGCTGTACTTGGGCGGCCGCGGGTGACCCCGCCCCCCAAGTCATAGTGGCCACTGGCTCTGAAGTGGGGGGCCTGCCCGCACCCCGGGGGTGCCCGGCCAGGCAGGAAGGGCGGGGCCACCCCAGCTGGACGGTGGCCCCTCAGACCCGCTCTCCTCCGGCGGGCGGGCGGCC